TTTTTTTTTTTTTTTGAGACAAGGTCTTACTATGCAGTTCAAACTGACCCTGAGCTCACTATGCCTCCCATTCTGGCCTCAAACGCATAGCGATCCTCCAGGCCCAGCCTCCTGAGTGCTAGGATTATATAATGGCTTATACCATCTTTGGTACAGTAAGTCTTTGGATTTTCCAACATATTTATTTAGCTTATTGGTGCAATGGGATCATTCATAAAATAGTACATATTATTTATTCTTTTTTGTTTGTACCAGGCATTGAACTCAAGACCTTGCCCTTGCCATGTAGGTGCTGTGCCACTAAGCTATATCCCTAGACCTTTTTTTTTAAAATACAAACCTACATCCTGACATTTTTTCAGTTTTTTATTTGGATACAAGGCCTCATTAGTCACAAAGTCACCTGAGATTGAGCTTGAATGTGATCTTCCTCTCAGTTTCCCAGAATGAAGGAATTTAGGTGTGCAGCATCATGCTCAGCTTAGAATCAGTTTTTCTTTCTAGTTGGCTTACAGTGGGGGGCCTGCCCCTTAGCTTAGTTATTTAAATGCCTGCTTCAACAAAGCAGTCAGGCTCAGGTTGCTATAGTTCAATCCCCACAACTGAAGCCAGCCAAACCTGCCCTGAAGGCATTCGAAGCCGGCCCCAAAAAAAAAAAAAAATCCTTCAGCTTACAGTGTATATTCCTAGCATCTCAGTTCTTGCACTAAAGGATTACAAAGTATGTGTTGTTATTCCATGAGATTGATGATTTCAGTAACTCATAAATAACATATACAGTAATACCTCATTCACAAATGTTTCTGTCTGCAAAGTTAGCAAAGAGATTCAGTTTGCAAACATTTCATGTTGATCAAAATTTTGTTTCCTTTCACAAACTGTGCTTTGCGTGACAGATACAACCACAGCCTTTTTCTCCACACAAACATAAACGCAGCCATCTTCCCCCAATCCTAAATTATATTTATTTTATTTTATTTTATTTTATTTTATTTTTGGCAGAACTGGGAATTGAACTCAGACCCTTGCGCTTGCCAGGGAAGCGCTTATTTCACTAAGCCATCTCCCCGGCCCCATTTATTTTTTTTTTTATTTTTATTTATTTGAGAGAGAGAGAGAGAGTGTGTGGTGTGTGTGTGTGGCCAGCTCAGCCCACCAGGGGGCAGGGCTGGCTGGCATGTGGTGCTGAGGGATTGAACCGCGGTCCCTGATGCTTTGCTAAGCTTGTTCTAGGTGCTTTAGACCACTGAGCCATCTCTCCAGCCCCTCCCCGGCCCCATTTAAATTACATTTATAAGCTGAGATACCACTGTGTTTTCATGAGTGTGGATGTTTTGTGTGTATCCTTTATGAGAACGAGTGAACTTGTCCTTTTCCATGTAATGCAGTGGCCTCTACAAGCTTATGTATTTTGCCTTTTAAGAGCAATATAGAGCAAGCCAGGGGTGGTGGTGCACATCTGTGAACTCAACTCTCAGGAAGCTGAGGCAAGAAGACCCTTGTGAGTTCTCAGCCAGCCTGGGCTACATAGTGAGTTCAAGGCTAGCCTGGGCTATAGAGCAAGGCCTTATCTCAAAATCAGAATGAACAGAGCATCATAGAGTATGGTTTAAAAAATTTTTAAAAAGATAAAAAACTATGACTATTTTTTAACTAATAACCAAAAATGTGCTAATTAACTTTTTTCTGGTACTAAGATTTCAATTATGATTGACTTCAGAATGTTTTTGTGGTTTTAAATGTCTAAATGTAATTGGCACATTTTAGAAATGGTCCACAGTAGGATTCAGCTATAAAGCAGGTGTTGCCTAGACCCTTGAAACATCTGACTGCTGGCTGACTCTAGTCTTGTCATTTACTTTGCAATAAAATGATCCTCGGTTTTATTCAGAGGAGTGTTTTAGCTTCACATGTGTTAACTTTTCCTCATAGACGTGTGGGTTGTGTCCATAACTGTGGTGTTGGCCTTTACACCAGAATTGCATTTGCAGCTTTCTTTTTGCTTCTCACTTCCAGTTTTGGGAGCCCCAAGCTCTACCCTGAATTACGTTACTCACAATGAATGACCCAAACTAAATAAAAGTAGTTACCTGTGGGAAAGAAAAAGGGCCAGAGAAGGGAAAATAAGAATAAAGTAAAGGGGCTGGGGATTTGGCTCAGCAGTAGAATGCTTACCTAGCAAGCTGAAAGCCCTGGGTTTGGTCCTCAGCACCAAAAACAAAAAAATAAACCTCCCCTAAGAACAAAGGTAAACAACAACAACAACAAAAAAAGAAAGTCAAAGTTGATTGAAGATCTAAACATTAAAGCAGAAACACTAAATCTACCAGATGAGAAAACGGGTAGAAATCTTGAAGACATAGAGGTAGGCAGACAGTTCATGCACTGTGTGGGAACTACTTCAAGGAATGGACAACTGGAATCTGATCTTACGAAAACGTGTTTGCATGTGAAAAGAAATCAGCAACCAGGTGAAAAGATAATCCAGAATCAGAAAAGCCTTTAGCCAAATGTGTCTTAGACAAAAAACTTCTATCTAGAACATACAAGAATTTTAAAAAATTAGAC